CTCAAACCTAATCCTGTTTATACATATGTAATATGCCAAGTCTGGCCCCTCTGTATGAGCTGAGAACTGTTAAGTTACTATGATTTGTGTAGGGTAAATGCTTCCTGACGGTATTTTAAAGAACACAGAGGCAGGCTTAAAATAATGTACCAGCGCAAGTTCTTTAAATAGCACAGGAAATATGATGAACTCTGAGTTCATCAGTAACAACACAGGAAGAGGAAAGCCAGAGATCAGATAAGACTTTCATAGCAGGAATGATGGTGGGACAATTTATTCTTCCAGAGGTTATCAGCTGCTTGACCCTGATACAGGTAGATTCTCACTAATAAACAAGAGATTCTACCATTATGGGTTCTAGTCTCCTAATTATGGAGCTGTTTCTATGGTAACAGACAGAAACCACATTCACCTTGGCTTTGATGTCTTACTGCATGTATATCTTTAATAGCACGCTTCCAGAGAAATAAACAGAAAACAAAAGTGATTTGTAGAAAAGGGACAACACAGGAATATTGTTTGTGCTGTTCTCTTGCTCAAACACACTGAATCATAGAATTGTAACATTATAGAATACCAGGTTTGAAGGGACCTCAAGGATCATCTGGTCCAACCTTTCTTGGCAAAAGCACAGTCTGGACAAGATGGCCCAGCACCTTGTCCAGCTGAATTTTAAAAGTGTCCAATGTTGGGGAATCCACCACATCCCTGGAGAGATTACCCCAATGGCTGGTTGTTCTTACTGTGAAATTTTTTTCTCTTGAGTCCAATCAGAATCTCCCCGGAGTAACTTGTACTCATTACCCTTTGTCTTTTCCATGTGAATCCTTGTGAAAAGGGAGTCTCCATCTTCTTTGTAGCCACCCGTTCAATACTGGAACATGGTGATAAGGTCTCTCCTAAGCCTTCTTTTCCCAGGGCTAAACAAACCCAGTTCTCTCAGCTTTTTCTCACAGTGCAGGCTTCCCAGTCCTTTGATCACCTTGGTGACCCTTCTCTGGACCCTCTCCAGACTGTCCACTTATTTTCTTTATGGTAGGGACAAAAATTGAACACTGTATTCCACTGACACGGAAGACAAGTTGGTAAAAAGCTAATTCTGGCTACTTTTTAAATAAATTTCCCTTGTAAACTCAGAGCTTTAAGCTCCAATATCCTTCATATGCTGGACAGAAAAATCTTGCTATCAGACACTATATTTAATTATAGTTTTAATTATAGTCCTACAACTAGAAAAGTATTCCACATTAGGGTGGGAAAAATCCTTATTCTTATTGTTGATCCATTGCTGCTACTAACAATTACTGCAGAGTCCAGCTCCGTCCTCTTTGTCTGTTGATTTATGTGGGTGTTGCCTCATAGAATTAGCTGATAATCTCATTATAGCTAATCCTGTTTTCTCCTTCTATAAAACAATCTTGTCATGACTGGCAGAGCTCCCTTTTCTGCCCATTTCTCTTTTCCTTTAGCTAGTTTCTATGATTCTATGATTCTCTACAAAAGCATGGATTCTCAGAGCAAAGATTTATCCTGTTTATTGGCCATAATTCCAGCCTCACCAAATTCAGCTCCCTGCCCTATCCCTTTCAATAAATATTTTCTTTGAGCCAAACAGCATACAAATATTAGCTGTAGCTCTTTTATGTTCAGTTCACATAATTGCACTATTCTGAAGCAACTAAAGCTTCTCAAATCACATTTTGGATTTACATTATCTTTTACGTCTTTAAAAAGTGGTTTCCCTTGCAACCTTTCTTTATGGGGAACAAAGTAAAGAAGACTCAAAGCTGCAATTGCCTACATATATTTTTGATACCTGAATACTAAGGTACTTAATAAGGTAAATTCATTTAATCCAGGATATTTCTACAGCATAACTAATCACAAGTATATTTCTGGTGACCAGATGCCCTTAATGAGGTTACCAAAAGCATGTAAATGTTGTTGAGGTGAACATGAGCACTAAGAGCATGCACACACTAAACATAACTCTAAACAGCAGTTGTAAAGCAAGATAAGAACCACCTATTTACCTTGTGCTAATTGTATTCAACAATACCATACCTGACCTGATAAGGATTTGCACAGATATGCTTTGTATTTTTTGTTTTCCTCATTTACTGCTTGTGAAAACTGCCAAGGATAATGAAGATTATCCTTCACATGACCTAGGCAACGAATAAACCCATTTCCTGAGTTTGTTTTAATCAGATAATCCTGTTCTGAAGTGATGACTTTCAAAAGCACTTTAGTACACCCTATTTAGCACAATAGGTTTTGGAGGTAAAGAAAGCTCACAAATTACCTGATTCCTTTTATACATTCCAAAAGCTATAATATAATTAGTTATACTGTAGTTCTTCATCATTAGTTGTCATAGAATTTCTACACTAAATGGGGCAAGAATTGTAGGGGGAAGAATGTCATTTTGATTCAGTCCAGGAAAAGCAGATAAGCTTCTGGGGCATGTATCAAGAACAGTTCCACTCAAAAATCTTACCTTCAAAGTTTTGGACACAATAAGACTATTTACAGCCTTAACACTACATACGTCTAAGTTATATTGTACATAAGAAAACAATTCCAGCATAATTACACAAGCTGCAGTTCCACTGTCTTCCAGTATCCAGTATCTCCAGACTGCCTGCCCAGAACTGCCACACGAGGCAATGAGTGTTGTTCATCCTTTGTGATTATTTTGCATTCAGCAATGCCTTAAGGCTTTGATCAGGACCCACTAAAGAGACAATCCCTGCCGGGAAAATTTTCAGTCAAAATAGGAAAGATCACCTGGCTGTGACAATGTAGAATTTCAGTGGGGCAGAAGGGAAAAGGTCTCAGCACAGCCTCTGAAGTCACAGGAACTAAATTTATAGGGACAACTGAGTGACTATATAGTAGTATCCATATTTTGGTACCATGTTACCAATAAGTACTTCTACAGCAGAGCTGCTTGCCGTGTTGCTGTCTAGCTGCTTAAAAATTTCTGGCTTTGACTTCCTGCCTTTAAAATTACTGAAGTTTCTACCATTAGGCATTAGGCCTCTGCATCAGGCTTCACTCAGAAGTTAGACAGCAAGAGGAGGTCCCTGTGAACGGAAGAATTTAAGTTATTCCACATTATTTAAAGAAGGAAGAATCTAAATCCAGTCCTGCCATCTCCCACTTGAGCACTCTAGTCATTGTCCTCTAAAGTAGATAATTTAAACTGGTAGATATTTTAGGCTGTTCAAGTTTCTCTGCTTCTCATAAAATGCTGAAATACTGTTTGGAGCAGGCACAGAAATCCCTGTGCTGCAGAGAAAATTCTGGGGGTTTTTCCCCCAAAGATTATTTCAATCATTCATATGGAGAGGGATAAGGTCTACAGGAGATATGGAAGAAATTTTCCTGATTTGACATAAGAAAGATCTGCTCTCAAATTTGAACCAGAGGACATTGCAGGTCACAGTCTGGATGCTTTAATTAACAGGCTATTAAGTTATTAAGGGAGACCATTTTTGCATGAGAACAGCTGATCTGGCCACCAATGGATCCAGCTGAGAAGCTGATGAGCAGAAACAGGAGGTACACATACACAGGCTCACCCGTTGTGTGTCAGGGAACATGTCCCACTAAATGGTACCAGTCTGAGGGAAAGGGAGGCTGTGACCAACCCAGTAAATACACATCCTCTTATTGTTTCCTCTTGCTCATCTCAAAGCAGCTCCAGTACTCCTGGCTCTGGGCCTCCAGTTCTTTGGTCTGCCATAGGCAAAAGATGTTGGGTGTTGAACCAAAGCCTGCTATTTCTGTCTAGATAGAGGAGTGACATGTTCTCAGTGATAAGCGTTGTGGTATTCACCGTCAGTGATGTTCTCAGAGAGCAACAGATATGGCAGTACGTAAAACTGAGCCCAGACCTGATTTCCATGCTAGTATCTTGCTCTTTACAAGGTCTCCTTTTCTTTACTCATCTGTTGCCCTATGGAAATGATTCGTAAACTAGAAGGGCCAGATTTGCCATCGTCTGTCCTGTCATTGTATTAATGTATAATAATTTACAATAAGAATCCATTAGAATGGCACCAATTAAAATGGTATAGGAAGTGTCCCAAGTATTACCCATTTCAGAATTTTCTGGTTTCTCTGGTTTCTCCCTTTAACATCTGAGAGCTTTTGTAGTACAGAATGTTAGCACAGCATATTCCCTGGGTACTTCAGAATGTTGGCATATGAGATAAAGGCTTTTTCAGACAGCTGCTCTGCCTTCTGCTGCCCCTCTTGCTAACATTGGCCTGTTTACCTCATCTATGTTTACTTTTACCTGTAGGAGTCATGCTAAACTCTGCACAGTGGGGCAGTTCAGGATAGAGCAAAGAAGCTCTATCTATCTATATTGGGAATATCCTCTCTGATTCAAGCTTGGGAGACAAGCACATACAGATGCTCTCCACCTTTGGAGTATAACTTGGTTCAAGCTCCTGAGTGCTACTGAGTAGAAGAACTTTGTAAAGTCTTCTGTGTCCCACAGAACCACTATCAGTTTTGAGAGAATTACTCAACAGAGCATTTGAGAATAGAGCTATGTTTTAATTCTATTCTCAAACCCATCTGTGTTCAGCAAAGAAACTAAATATCCACTTGAATTCAAACTTGCTCATATAATTTGCTGAATCAATGGTTTACAGCCTGCCTGATTTTTCTTCACAGTGCTTTACCTCATTGTAGCTTGATCCTGGCATCTTAACAGCAGGAAAGTATGTCTCCGAGGCTGTGCCCTAGTATTCAAAACAATGGAATTTGAGATAAAAACATTCTGAGGAGAAATTCTAAGTCACATTTTCCTTTTAATAGTTAAATTATACCTGCAGTGGCAATACCACCCTGCAGATACGCATAGTCAGGCATAGATATATAGACAGATATCCAAAGAAAGGGCATTCATGTAGTTTTTGCTTAAAAGGACACATAGGGTTTTTTTGCTTTACAGGAATTCCCACAGACTTCTAGACGCGACATTGATGAGAGCATGCTGTCTCTTGCCTAAACAATTTCAATTGATTTTATTAAGAAAAAGGAATTGTGGAATAACATCTACTTTAAAAGACAGTATCTCTCTTTCTTACTCTGACATAATACGTGCTGACAGAAAAGAGCATAGCAGTATATCTTCTGTGAGACGTCTCAAAGTCTCTGACTGCTGCATTCAGTGCTGTGTTTAGGCTGTAATCTTCAAAGTGCAGGGACGCAGGTACTCAAATTCTGTGTGAGTTCAGGCCTTTGCTCTTTAGGCACCTTTGAAGCTCAGACTTACTGTTTGCTGCAAGAAATACTCTGCTGCATGGTAACCCTTACCAGACACATGATGAACATTATTACCCAGGCCAGGAGTACTCCAAACTGTAGTGCAGCAAATATAGAATGAGGCATGTGACAGCCTTGCTAATAAAGTTTATGACATCCATGCTGGTTTACTCAGACAAGACAATCAATGTCTTAATGGAAATAAACCTTATGGTGAGTTGTGTCATGGCTATGGAAAGAGGTATCCTTCCCAGGTGGTCCTTAAGGGCAATACCAAATGGAGAGAAAGATGTCCAAAGCTACTCCTCCTTCTTAGGAAGCCATATCACCACTTATTGTAGCAGCAGGGCTGCTGGAAGGTCAAGGAGAAGGAGATTATTTCTTACTATTTCTCCACTAATATAGTATCAACCAACTGAAATTATATTCTCAAATTTTATAAGCCTTGAAGGTGAACTCAAGCAAACTGGCCGTATCTCAAACCAGTGGAACATCAGGAGTAATTAAACGTGATCCCAACAAAGAAATACCTTACAATTTAAAACATGAATTCTGTGTTGAGTGTGATACAGTCTTCAAGAATCTTGCAAAGTGTGGCACCAAAATAGTGTTGGATGGCTGCAATACCAAAGTAGACTCCTTCCTGTCTTCTTAAGGTGTCCTGGGAGTCATGGCACAATTATAAAATTTTCTGGAGGGACTGAAATTAGACAATCTTCATCAGTTCTTCCGATGTTACTAATAATTTTGGTGTCTACAGAAGAAAGAAAATATGATACAAAGAATAATTGGAGACTTCAAGAAATAGAAAGAAAAATGGGACTTAAGATAACTAACGATAAAACCAACTATTTGCTTTAATTTGACAAGAGGATTTTAGCTAAGGTTCTCTAGCAGCTGATAACTGTATCTACCAAAAGTTTGGTAGCTAAAGTACTTCAGACCAGTGACAATGAGAATATCCGTCAGAATACTGATATTCATGCCAATCTGAGGAGATAAATGGCTTAGGAATGTATATTCCTTTATTTTAAAATCAGAAGACCAGAGTTAAGGATATACCAGGCCATTTTAATGTAGTTTGGTTTGTGTAGAAGTGGCACTTGGTCACTTACTAAAAAGACAAAGAAAGAAGCTAAATAACTTCTCAAGCTAAAATACTGCTCAAGGATGTGTGGGTAAGATTTAATTAGGAATGATGGGGGTGTCAATAAAGAACATTAATAGTGATTTAATTCCATAGCTTCAGTGGGCAAACTGTGTGGTTAGAATGACACAAGACAGACCAAGACAAGAAGCATCTGGGGAAAGCCCTTCCACTGCTGCTTGAGGTTGATCAATCAAAATGAAGTGGAAACAGTAAGTTGAAATGATGCTCTTAATACACATAACCAGCTACACAGAAAAACCAGAGAGTTTGGGGCACATTAAGGAGCCGTTGGTCATTATGATCTCTAAAACCGTGAAGGGGGGAAGGAAGCAAGTATGTGGGAAGGGAATGGACCACCAGCAGACACTTGTGCTTTGCAGGCGTAGCCACATGCAATAAGAGACAGCCGTGTAACAGAAAAGTACATTGCGATTATGGTCTGCCAAATGGTGAGCAAACCAAATTGTAAGCCATATCGCCGTTTACGTTGTTCCTGAGTCTACTCAGCTAGATCTCAAAATAAACAAAAGATGAGCCTTATATTCCACGAGGTTCTACTTCAGCTTGAACAGAAGTTTGAACATATTCTCTGAGTCCAAAAAGACTGGGTAATGTCCATCTGCCACTAATGCTAGTGCCTTTGAGGTGAAAGTGAGCCGGGCTGTAGGTGCCTATTATGCACACTGTGCTGCTGGGCTGACCACACACAATATTGAAAGTAATAACAAAAATTGAAATGGAGCTTACTGCTCATTTGTAATATGCTGCAGGAGCTGTGTGGGGAGCTTTCTGCCCAGAATTATCAAGCAGGCTGTGGATTTTGAGACAGATTTAATTGCCATTATGATAGAAAAATCTTTCCCACTTATTTTCTGGAGACTGTCTTTTTATCTAAGTATTTGGAAATGCACCTGCTGCTGCCCTGAAATACACAGTAGTGAATAATAATGTTCCTGGTTCTTGCATTTAAAACATTGTCCCTGGAGCCACATGATATCTCTGTAGCAATCTGAACTATTAGAAAAGCAGTTCTAATACAACAAGGACACATTCCTGAATTCAGGACAAATAGGTGTATTTTCATATGAAGAGCATGTGTAAGTTTTGGATGCTCATGCCTGAGGATGCTTCCCAATGTATCTAAAGCAGGTGTGCAGAAACTCTCCTTGTCCACTCTGACGCAGATAACCACCCGTGATTCCCAAACTCTTTTTCTGTATGATCTCATGAAAAAAGTGTCACCTTTGGGCTTGGAAGCCTACATAAGGGTATTTCCCTCCTGTAAGTGATTTTATAACAGAACTATTTTTAACTAGCAGTTTTCTTCTGTCTACAATTGAAAACAGAAATAAAAGATGCACTAGGGCCTTCTGGGAAGAGTTGGTGGCACAGAGAGAAGAGAACTTATTTTACAAATATATTCCAGATTTGAAGACAGAGTGCCTCAAATGTGACCATACAAACTGAATGGAATTTGAAGCGAAATCTATATTTTAAGAATACAAAAACAACTCAGGATGAGTCACTGGGGAGGCAAAAGTTACCACAAAGTTTGTGCACAGTCTATACAGCGAGCTTGACATGGTTTCCAAAACCTTTAATTTCTCTTGGTTTAGGGGAACTAAACACATGATTTAAACAAAATGCTGTGCTTTTGCAAAGTTTATGCTTTGCAAAAATGAAAAAGTTACTGAAGACATTAACTGTTCAGTGCTGTGATCTCAGTAAATGTGGGAAGGACACGTACTACTGAAAAACTTGCACGCAGCTCACCCTGGAAATGGGTATCTGAACTACAGGTCTGGCCCGCAAAGTATTAGGTGAGGTGAAGGAATATTTTCCAGCACAATTGCTTTTATAGTTCAGAGCTTCTCTTCTGCACGTATTTCAAGACACAGTATGATGGAGGAGATATGATTTTATTCATTTCATATAAATTAGGTGCCTAGTTTTCGCCAGACAACCCTGAGCTCCAGTGTGGCCACAGGCTTGCTATCTGGACTGTTATCATCAATGAAACACTAAAATTTCTCTTTGTGAAACTCTTCTCACCTACCGAGAACACATTATGCCTATTTTGCAGGTACTTATCAAAATTAATGAATCTATGTTAGTGAAGAAAAATCTCTAGCCTCTGAGTACAAGCAGCTTATCCAAAGCTCACTGGATCCAAAGGGAGCTTTTCCATGACAAGGATTTGAACAAAGCCTTTAGTACTAACATAAAATCCGGAAGAGTACTCTCACTATTCTTAAAGATATATTCTATCAGCATCAATCTGGTGTCAGCAAAAATTTTTATTGCTTTCTGTGGAAGCAGACAGGTGAGGAAGCCATCATAAACAAAAAATATTTTCTGAGTTACTCTGCATGAAATGAAGAAAACAAAAAACCTATCATAGTATTCTCCTAAAAAGAATAAATTACATTTAAGCAGGTTTTGCTTTACATGTGGTGAAATGAACAGAAGTTTTTGATGATGACCGCAATGAAAATGAATAAACTGTGTCATAAAAAATCTGGTGCCCCTAAAACATCAGTGGAAATTCTCCTCACATTCTCACCTATTTGCCTGAGCTGTGAGTGCAGTCTCCTCAAAAGGGGAATATAGATCTGTCACAGATATTACTTCAAAAGTGGAAAGCCAGTATAAATTTTTCTCAACATCTCACCAAGACAGTGTGAACTGGAACTTATATTTCAGCATTTTTTATGGGGAATATTCAGAGTATATATTAAAGGTACTTAAAAGTATATGTTTGTGTCTCTCTTGTGTACATGGAAAAAGAAATAGTCACCTAAAGTGCCCTACACATTTGGCTAAAGGAAACTGTATACGTGAAGCAGGCAATTCGTTAAGCAATGTGTGTGACAGGAGCAACAGACACCTTCTTCACCCCTTCTGTGAAAGCCAAGTAGAAAGACTGTAGCAAGACTTCAAGTCTCATCAAGGAGGAAAAAAACAAGAGGAGCCTGAATCCTTAATGCAGTAATTGAGGCACTTTCATGGACTAATGTCAACCTGGGTTCTGGTCCTGCTTAAATGGCTATTTATGTGAAACAGTAACTGGATTCAGTGCATACACAGTCCTTGGAGCAGGGAGTAGAATTCGATCTCCCCTTCTCTTGACAACACATTTAAAATGTCATTCTCATTATGTCCCCGTTTTAGTAGGAGTCAGGACAAATCTGTGCTCATGTTTTGTATTGGCTATCTTTAGGCATCTTTTGCAATGAGAACACTGACCTAAGGCAGTTCCTTGCACTCAGAGCTCACAGAATCAGTTATGAAAGCCAAATGCTCAAGGGTGAGGCAATGTGTGACTTTGAAGTGCCTAAGGAAGAAGCAGATATTGGGAGCCAGGCCTTCCAAAAAGTGGTTCAAAGTCTCTTCTAGCCTCAGGTCTGTTTATCTCAGTAGGCATGGGAACATAGCTCACAGCATCTGGAACACAGTCATCTCCTGCAAACTAATTTCAAAATAGTAAATCTACACTCATGTAATTTTACTACATGTATGACCCTCTTGCTTATAAAGTAGAGTGTGTTAAGGATAAGACTGATAGAAAATGATACAGACGCTGTTTAGAGCACAGGAGGAAATATGCTGAAATAGGTCATTATTTGGCTATTATCTATGTAACGCAGGGGCCAAAAATGTTGAAAACAGATTATTTCTCCCTGTGTATATTTAGGAAGAAAAGGTTACCCAAGGTTTTCTATGCATTTGGCTCAAGGATGCTGCAATATGAGAACAAGTGATTTGTTAGGGAAATCCTATGTGACTCTTCTACAGCAGCTAACCAAGTAAACAAGAAGTGAGCTGGAACTTTCTGTACAAGGACTTTTACTGGAATCATTCGGAAGCTTTTGAGTATACTCAGGCTTCCTCGGGACGTTCTCTCTGTGTTAGACCTGTTGCTGCAATCATCATCTCTCAAACAAATGAATTTTGAACAACTTGAGATTTCAGACTTCAGAAAATGTTTTTCACCCCTTTAGAAGTTCAGAGTCATGTCGTCATGGTGATTTCTATGTAAGCTGATAGGCTTTTACAAAATATGCTTTACACTTCTAATTTTTAAACAAAAGAAATAGCATCAACATCATTTAATAAACTTTTGACCGTAACGATCTTGCTGATAATCTTCATGTATAATATAAATATCTTTATAAGGCCACAGTTCATCTTTTTGCATAATGTCCCCATGTGGCCTTTCAGACATTCAAGCTGGCATCTTGTCTGTGTCATTAAATCTAAAATGATTCAAAACTTCCCATCTTACTCTAAGCCTTCATCTATGAAAACCACCAGGGAATTCTTTTCTTGACTCCAATGAAAAGCATATGGGAATCACTGAATTCTGAAAGCTCAAGTCCATCATGATCAAATTATGTCTTTCAGGAGAATTCAATGCTAAAGTTTTCTTAAAAATTCACAAACAGAAGACAAAAAGGGTGTGATAATTGCTGAAAAAGTTCTAACTGACCAAAGCACATCAGCTTATTTTTACAAATTATTTTTAGTCCTCATTCTCCACTGACATTTCCAGAAGTACATCAAGATCTGCACAGTTTCTGTAACAGAATATGGACATTAAATTA